AGACAGCTCCAATTAAACAGAGAGAATCCCGCTCCCAGCCCCAGCTGCTGAGTCTCCTGGCAGTGAGTGCAGGAGGCAGCAGAGCAGCAGGTGAGAGACAGCGCCCAGCTCCCCGCTGGTGATGGGATGGAAATGCAGAGGGGGAGGTGTCTGGGAAAGAAAGTGAAGGAACAAGTAAGGGAGCAAACCAGTTGATGGATCGGTCAGTGTCATATGCCTTTAATGCAACGCCAACGTGTGTTTTGTGGTGATTTGGGCAGCACTTGTCCAACGCCTGCTCACGCTGGGAGGATTACATAAATTTGCCCACTTGGTCCTCCTGTCCCTTTGAAGCAGACTACCTTTTCACCTTTATTTTTATTTGACTTTTTATTCTGAAATACTTAAAGACTCACCAGAAGTTGCAAAGATAGAACAGAGAGCTCTGAGAAGGATGCTTCGCCCAGTTTTCGTTCAGTGGCTACATCTGACATAACTGCACTGTGCCATCGCAACCAGGATGTGCATATGGGTACCGTGTATTTCCACATCCTTCTCTCACCTGCGTAGATTCCTGGAATCACTGTAATTATCACGGTGTAGAATAGTCCGTCACGGATCCCCCGCACCCGACCCCTTAAACCCACCACCCTCCGCCGCCCCACCCCAACCCCCGGCACACACTAATCTGATCTCATCTGTATAATTTTGCCATCTCCATAATGTTGTACAAATGACCCTACAGCATGTGACTTTTGGGAATCAGCTTTTTTATCTTTTACTCACCACAATGCCACTGAGGTCCAGGAAAGCTATTCCATTTATTAACAGTTTGTTCTCTTTATTTCTAAGTCCATTCCACAGTATAGGTGGATCCTTACTTGTTTCAATGCTCGTCTACTATCGAACAATTTAAGGCTAGTACTCGTGAAGCTTTTATGAAAATTTGACTAAGTGCTCTGATATGGGCTTAAACCTCTCACAGACAGAATTATCTAGGAGCACAAGGACCGAGCCATATAGTGATTGCAAGTGTGTATTTTTAAGGAACTGCTATTTTCCAGAGTGATTGTTATTCTTTACATTCTCACAAACAATGTATGAGACATCCAGCTACCTGAGCATTGCCACATGTGGGATTGTCACTGTGTGAGGGTAGTCACTAAGACACACAGACAGGCATTTCGTCGTGGTGAGGGCAGCGACACCTCATGGTGTCCTTCAGGTGCGTTTTGCTGATAGTTAAGACACTGGGCATCTTTTCACGTGTTTATATCTCATCCATGTATCCACTGTTGGCTAAATGTCTGTGGTTTTTGCCAATTTTCAAGTTTGATTTCTTGTTCAAGTTTGGGAGTTCCTTACATACTCTATGAATCCCTTTCCAGGTTTCTCCCATTCTGTAATATGGTTTTCATCCATTTAACCAAGACCTTAACACAAAAAAAATTTTAATTTTGATGAGGTTCAATTTATTTTTATCTTTCTTTATCTGTGGTCCTATTCTTCTGTATAAGAATGCTTTACTCTGCCTTACCTTTTAAAATACTGCCCAATGTTACCTTCTGATCGTTTCATGGTTTTATATTTTGCATATAAATATATGATCTGTTCTGAGTTAATTTTTGTACGAGCTTTAAAGCTTGCATGGAATTCACTTTTTGCCCAAGGATAGCCAGTTGCTCTAGCATCATTTATTAAAAAGGCTACCCTTCCAACCAGTGCCTTTTGCGACTTACCAAAAATCAGTCAGCAGGACCTCTTTAAAAAGGCTCCATCTCATCATTTCCAATGTTTTTTGTGAGAAAGGAGCTGGTTAAAACTTCCTTATTCTCAGCACTTCCTAAAGGTTGAATTTGAGACAACCATGTCTTCTCCATCACTTTATCCCATGGTGCTTATTTCTCAAGATATTTGAAAGCTCTGGAGAAGCCAGTATCAGCAACTGGCTCAGCTTGCTACATTCTTATCCCTGACCACCTCCTCTGAAAGCTGTAGATCTGCTTGGAGTTACAGAAAAGAGCCAAGTAGCCCTCTGCTGGAGTACTGGGGATGCAGGCAGTTTATTTTGTTACATAATATTTTGTGTGAATAAAACTGTATAAAACTGTATGAAGAATAATTCAACCACACAATTAGTCATGATATAATTAAAAACAAAAATAAGAAGTAATTTTTATCCCTGTCTCATCTTTCTTTTTTTTTCATTAAGTTTATTGGTACATTTTAGGTATACAATACAGTCACAGTCATCTTGTCCCTTTTCACAGTGATCTTGGTTCCTATTTTTTCCCCATTCTCCTGCCCTCCCTTCCACCCTTGCACCCTTCCCTATTTACAAAGCCTTCTTTCATTTTTTCCTTTTCTCATATTTTTTCCTTTCCCTTCATTCCTTTCCCCTACCCGTCCCACTTCCCCTACCCCTTTAGACCTTTTCTTCCTTTTTCATATTATCAATTATGCATTTTGATCTTTATTTACACTTTCAGTTTCTCACACCAGAGAAACTATTTGGTTTTTACATCTGTGTGTCCTATTTATTTCACTTAAAAGTATGGCCTCAATGTGCATCCATTTAGCTATAAATGTCTCTAGTTTCTTGTTCTTTATGGCTGAGTAGTACTCCATTTTATAAAAAAAACACATCTTCTTTATCCAGTCTCCAGTTGACTGTATGCATCTTTCAATAATCACATTCTAATTTGTCCTCCATGAAAGTAACAATTTACATATATATTTTATATGTGCATATATATAATAGAGACATATAATTGGGGCTGGTTTGTGCATTTCAAAGTTGGTCCTTCTCCATTTGTAGATTTTGCTCCCTCATTCTTTGTTCAAGTGTCAGGTAAGTGCTCTGATGCCTTCATAAGCTAAGACCCACAAGTGTAGCTAAAGTTACCGTCTGTAATTGCTTCTTGGGAAGCGCTCACCAGTGCACATTCTAGCGCTCCCTTCAGCCTTCACAGAGCACCCGCCCACGACAGCATCTGGAGGGTTCCGCGGGATGAATGTAGTAGAAGGCAAGCTTTCCCCACTGCTGCTCTTGTTGGTCTTCATGCGCCTGATCCGTGAGCAGTCACTCAGCCATCCTCCTTCCAGGCAGGAACTTATACTGATGTTATTCCTTCACTCATTTATGTCTTGGAATAAAAAGCAATTCATTGTGTTTCAGGACTGAAATTTAATTACTTCAAGTAATACTATGTTTTTTTTAAATGCCTAAATCTCAATGACATCTAACAGTAGAAAATCTCAAGAACACACACAATCCAGTGGAGACGGCAGGTTGGCAGGGGGACAGGGGAGGATGGAGCACCTTGCCTACTTCCTGAGATGGAAATGGGAGACAGAAGTGTTGAGAGATGAGCCCAGGACAAGGCAATCGAGTCGAGGCTCTGCCGCTGTCGCTGGATTCCTGTCATTGTGGCGAACTGCAGGTGGCCTCAGCGCTGCTGGCTCTCATTCTTCCTCCGCCACCAGATGATGTGACAAGGGCGGCACGTGGCACAGCCGCTGCCTCTGGACTTCTCAGCCTCCGAATGCTGAGCTGCACGCATCTCTTATTTCTGTATAAATGACCAAGTCTCTAGTCTTCTCCTATAGCAACAGAACATGGACTAAGATGGGGATTCTCCTCCACACAGTCACTCTGGAACCCAGCCGTAAGTGGGCTGTAACAAGCAACAGCCATCGGGCTTAATAGTTAAAACACAGCATGCCCAGGGGAATTTGAATTTCAAAGAAACAGTAAGCAAATTTTCACTTTTCAGACTTCCCAGGCGATATTTAGGTCTCATTCCTACCAAAAAGTACGTTCTGCGTCTGAAACTCACATTTTAACTTGGTGCCCTGTATTAATTATATCTGGCACATGACTGCCAAAGTCTCCCTAAACATCAAAATCCACCTAATACATGGGGAAAAGAGGGAGGAGAAAATCACATGATTTGTCAGCCCAGAGTTGGGGGTGGGAGCGATAGTCCCGGCCTTAAAGGAGCACACGTTACTTTAGCCCATGTTCGATTGGATATGACACCATGTCATGACCACACCCAAGTCTGCTTGGCTGCAAATGAGGTCTGGCTCTGTTCCCAGGAAAAAGACACCTGTACTGATGGCCCACAAGCCCATTCCTGCCACAGCAAGGTTCCATGACGCTTACTCCATATGAGCAGTGCTGGGCAACAGGGGAAGACGTTGAGGAATAAAGAAACTGTAGCAGAGAGCGTGAGGGCTTGTAAAATATGACAAGTTGTGCACGAGTGCATCACACCTGTATATCAAACTAAGTGCAGAGGTACCATAACTTAGAGAAAAACAAAGACATTTGTGATTTTTAAATGAGCTATCATTATATCTGAATTAAATTTTAGCACACTTTTTCTTTAAGGTAGGCCATAACTAAAAGAAAGCTCAATTCCAAGAAGAATGCCAGCTCATCTCTCTCTTATATATATATGAGATGAAGGCATTATCTGGTTGCTGGTGGAAGCTCCTTTGGTGGTAATTGTAAAACAGATGGTATTACACACATGTAGCCACCAGACATGTGTGCCCCATGAATAATCTCAAAAAGTTCTTCTAGCCATAATTAATTCCATGACTTTCAAGACCTTGAACTAGGAGTAAATAACCAAAATGATAAATGGATAAGAAAGGATGTGTGATACTGAAAATGTACAAAATCATATTTAAACACTGCCTGATGCAAATACAGATACCTGTTTAATATAGTAGAAAAGTACTAATCTATGCTTCTTAGAATCACACATTAATGTCAGTACTGAAGTATTCTTCACTGAAAAATAAATCCATGTTCCAAAAACAGTTTTTGTGCTGTTTTCTCAAGAAAATAGAAAAAGCCACTTGGAAAATAATAAATCTCCTTGTGAGTTTTATCACGAATGTCCAAGCCAAAACAATGACATGAAAGGTAAGAATCTTGTCATTTCCAGAAATCACAAACATCTTTCTTGTCTTGGTCATTCCGTTGACTTTCTAGACTTCTGGTAATCATGACGCAAGGAAATGCCACTGAAGTGACTGAATTCTATCTTCTCGGATTTGGTGTCCAATATGAGATTCAGTGTGCCCTCTTCATTGTATTTCTTGTGATCTATGTGACAACCATGGTGGGTAACATTGCAATGATCCTACTCATCAACACAGATTCCAGATTTCAAACACCCATGTACTTCTTCTTGCAACATCTGGCTTTTGTTGACATCTGCTACACATCTGCTATCACTCCCAAGATGCTCCAGAATTTCATAGTGGAAAACAAATCCATATCGTATGGAGGGTGTATAATGCAATTATTGGTTGTCGCAACATTTGGGACCACTGACTGCTACCTCCTGGCAGCTATGGCCGTGGACCGTTACGTAGCCATCTGCAAGCCTCTTCACTATCCCGTCATCATGTCCCAGACAGTGTGCATCCTGTTGGTAGCTGGCTCATACCTCATGGGATCAATAAATGCCTCCATACACACAGGTTTTACAGTTTCCCTGTCCTTCTGTAAGTCCAACATCATTAATCACTTTTTCTGTGACTTTCCCCCAATTCTTGCCCTCTCTTGTTCCAGCACTGACATTAACATCATGTTACTTGTTGTCCTGGTGGGATTTAACTTGACATTCACTGTGCTGGTCGTGATCTTCTCCTACAGCTGCATCCTGACCTCCATCTTAAAGATGTCTTCTGCTGCGGGCAGGAGGAAGACCTTCTCCACCTGTGCCTCCCACCTGACGGCCGTCACCATTTTCTATGGAGCCCTCTCGTACATGTACTTACAGCCTTCTTCCGAGCGCTCCAAGGAGAACATGAAAGTGGCCTCCGTATTCTATGGCACTGTGATTCCCATGTTGAACCCTCTGATCTATAGCTTGAGAAACAAGGAGGTGAAAGAAGCCATAAAAGTAATAGGTAAAAAGCTTTTGTAGGTTGGATCTGAACTGTTTAAACTTGGTGCATCAAACCATCCAGTGGAGATGTGCTGCCACAATTTAATGTTTCTAAAATAGGGATTGTGGCTATTTCTTAAACCAAATCTACTTCATTCAGTAAAGTCCTAAAATGTGGACAACAGTAGAAACATGTAGGACTGAAAATCACCCCCTGGGAAATACAGATACTGGACTAGTTCTAAAGCCCCTGAAGTTACTGATCAAGCATACAGCAAAATATTCCCTCCATATGAGTAGTTACAGAGCTGCTTAATGTCAGCTGCTGACATTAGTCACAGAGCTGCTGTGATGTCCTTATTCCTGCATAATTGTTCACTTCCTTCTTTATGACTTCATAATGATGATGTGATTCATCCTTCCACCAGGAGAAATGAACGCCTCTGCTAATTCAAAGGTGAGGAAAATATCTTGCTCAATCCTGTATTCCCAGCAGCCAGCATATTTCTTAGCACACCCTCAATACTCAATAAATAGTTGTAGAATCAATAAATGGATACATGAAAGAAAAACCAGAGAGGTCAGAAATCAGGACAGAGCACTCTCACGAAAGTTAGAAACAGTAACCTGCAGGCCAACATAGCTCTTTCTGGATTGAAAAGAAGAAAGGAAAGGCAGCTGCCCTTTGCCTAAAGCAACAGCCTATGAAACATCAAAAAGTATTATGGTAAACAAAGCCACAAAATTCAGCCTTAAAGAGTGTTTCTGTCATTTGTACGCAGAAGGCTAGAATAAAAGAGCAACAGCACACATGAGCAGATCTGTTGCCTCAGCATTTCAGGGTCTTGACATTACCAGTTTTATACACCCATTATGGAATAAATATGTGAACCCAGCTTGTAGCTTGAGCAACTTATGAGGGATCTCCAAGAATTGCTTCTGCTTTATTATTACTGATATTTTTTTCTTGTTTCTGAGGTGAAGGGGTGTGTGTGTGTGTGTGTGTGTGTGTCTGTGTGTGTGACCAAAGACACTCAGACAGAAGTATTTCATGATGCAGGTAAACTGTGGACACCAAAGGGCATGGTTAGGGATATCATTTAACCCAGTTTTAGCCATTCTGGCAGTGGATGAATGAACGATATCTCCATCATTCCTACCAAACAACTCACAATTCTGGGATTCATCCTGGACACTTGTTGCTATGGTTTGGGAATGATTTGTGGGAGTCCCCTAAACTTTCATGTGTTAGAAGCTTAGCCCCAAGTCTGGCAGAGTTAAGTGGTAAGACCCACAGAGGTCACTGAGGGTACTGCCCACAGAAAGGATTGATGTGGTTCAGAAATAGTGTGTCTTCTCTCAGCCACACTGGCCATCTCAGGATCAGGTCTTGATGAGTAAATTTATGAAAGGGAGGGTCTTTGGGAGGCCAGCCCCATTCCAAAGTACAGAAAGTATTTAAGTAGCAAATGGATTGGAAAGATTGCACCTGAAGGCTCATGCCTTCATATATGAACGCTATCAACTTTCATTCGTGAAGTGTTCCATGTCACCTGTGAGTCTAGCTCTGTGTGTGCTTCCCTGGCAAGTTTAGTCTATATCCTTTCGGATAAAAATTCAGCTCAAGATTGACTTCTCACTAACCTTTCATAGGAACTAAGAGACCAAACACACATTTTATACCAGCACTTTGGGTGCTCACAACAGAGTCCCTGCTGGGGAGGAGGACTGGGGTTCCATCCTGGAGAATGAATCAGCAACCAAGCTGCACAGGAAATAATATTATGTAGACTTCTGGAAGGAGGTAGAGTCCAATCGTGTACATTAACTTAGCATTGCTAAGGGGCACAGCAGGGCAGGAATAAAGCTACTGCAATTCTGTGGATCCCTCAGCAGTACTGGGGCAGCGCTTCCTAGTTTAGAGAACGCCTCCATCATGCAGCCGGTTCCTTAAGACATCAGGCAGCAAAAGAGATCCACAAATCACCCGTCATAGTCAGTGCTTTAAGGGAATAGATTTCATACAGGATGCATAATTTATAGGATTATCTTACAGTAGTCTCCCAAAGAGTCAAATGCACAGGAGCTCAAGAGATCTGTCCACACACTGGAGACCCGAAGAATCCAGCCAAGGGCCTGGATCCCCCAGCAATGTCCTGCACAAGTCCAGCTGAAGTCCTGGAGCCACAGTGAGGTCCATGCAAGTCCATATTGAGGATCTGCACCGGGAAGGCCCAAGCCCAGTGGTGGAAGCTAGAAAGCTTATACTGGGGAGGTGAAGGATTTGTGCCACCAGGCTGAGGGATCTGCACTGGATCCAGGAAGCAATGCTCAAGGTGAAGACCAGAGCTCCCCTGAGGAGAACAGCAGCCTTTCCCCATCTATTCTGAGGAGTCAACATGGTACAGCCCCACTTGGAGTGGTCAGAAAACTTTACCTTAGGGAGCAACCAGCAGTAGCAGCTGCGGGAAGAAAACTACCAAGGTGAATCTAACAAGAAGAGCATGTGTTTTCATAATTAGTTATGATTTTTCCAATGTCTGGAGAAATCAGACACTCAAAGAATGCAGAACAGTTTGCAGAAACATCCCAAGCACACATTGTACATCCAAGAAGACACTAGTCTGATGAGATCAGTACTGGATGACTTCATTAGTGACTACAGTTCAAAGGTCTAATTTTTAATTTTACATTGTATGATGGTCAGTATATTTCCAAATCGTTAGCATAAGACAAGAAATCCATGTAAGTATATATCTTCCAGACTTACTTGTCTGCTAGACAGTGTATGCTAAGCTCCACAGCACAGCATATACCACGAAGGAATCCGCTTTCCACCTTTTTCATCCTGTGAAGTCGCCTACATTCCTTGGCTTGTACCTACCACAGCATCTTCAGATCTCTCTCTCTCTCTGACTCTCATTGTCTTACCTCTCTCTTTTACTCATAAAAACTGCTGTGGTTATGTTGTGTCCACCTAGGTATTCAGGACAATCTCCCTATCTTAAGGAGAGCTATTAGCAATTTTTATTTTCCATTTACAAAAACAAAGTGCACTGAGCTGCCCATGTGCATCTAATTTTACATTAACACCATCTTTGAAGCTGACGTTCATAGGGCTGGTTTTCAATGTGAAAATAAAATATAAAAACTCCTCCCAGAGTTACTTATAAACAGCACTTGTCTCTTATCCTACTGTAGCAGAAATGTATGTGATGATTCATATTTAACATCACTTGCAGGAATGCTACTATGATTCCTAGATTTGGCTTTTTCACCAGTAGGGAATTATTGTTTTGTAAATGGAAACACCACTACTAAAAGCAGAATACTATAATTAGAATGATACCTTCACTTCCAAAGACTATCAACATACAAAAGCAATGTGAAAGAGATGGCAGGGGAACAGGGGAACAAATAAGAACCAAGATGCTTCATGTAAAGGTGCCAATTCCCAATGATGAATGTCATATTGTATACCTGAAGTGTACCAATAAAATAAATGAATTTTCAAAATGAAAATAAGAGTAAAAGAGAGATTTTGTGGCAAAGTTTGGAAGTAAGGTTGGAACTGTAATCTTCGAGTTGTCTCAGGGTAAACATTGCAGCTTCCAGCGAGTTTTCTCGGGGCCAGTGGGAAATGGGTGTAGGTCTTCTTCTACCCAGTTCCTCTTTACCATGAACTATAGCACACTCACAGGTTCTGCCGCCAGACGGAAAGCTCTGGACATCACACTGACATGATGGAAAGATATTGTGACCATCTTGGTTGATTTCTTGATAGCAGCCATTCTTTCTGGAATGAGATGGAATCTCAGGGTTGGACTAATTTTTATAACTACCCCAGCACGTTCCCACAGGAACAAATTGTTTCTTAACTCACACCCTAATCCAGATAAGATTCCTCCTCCCATTGATACACAGATGACAATGCTTAGATTTAATCTTTATAAAAAGCAGGATAATGTATATTTTGCTCATTATTGTATCCCCACTACTTTATAATTGTCAAGAATATCTTAGGTGCTCATTAAATAGTTGTTGAATGAATATACAAAGAATGTACATGGGAAACTTTATTGTGGCCTCTAAAATAAGAAAGAATACTAGCTACAGCACAGTTCAGCTAATTATTCTTGTAGCAGTCTTTGTTTTATAGATTGTTATTAGCCCAGGAGCTGTATCTAAAACATTATAATAGCAGCTCAATTCTTCGATCAAAACTTAATCCAATGATTAGCAAAGGTGGCTGACGTTACCAAAACAAGTTACTGTAGACAAGTGGTAGCAATGTGTGCCACAGCAGGCAGTTTATATCATTGAAAGCTCTGTTCACCATCACTGCTCTAGACCATGATGGAAGACAACATTGCATTATACAGAACAGAGAACGGAGAAGAGAATGTCCCCAGACTGAAAGGCATTTCTGTCGAAGTTCCATTTGTGCACTCATTAGCAGTGGCAAACTATTCTTCTGTTAAGAACTCCTGTTTTTTATTGAAGCTGTCTCATTTCCAAAGAAAGCTTCCACTGCAGCTTGGGAGGCCCGTGTGTCTTGATCTGAAGTCTTGCTGTATGACTGTGAGTGGAGGGGATGCGTGTGGTGGTGGGTAGTGTAGGAGTGAAGGTTAAAGTCTTGTCTTTGCCCTCAGCTACCGGGAGAGGATGGCTAGGTCTGTGGAGCAGCCTTCTTCATAGACCTTCCTGGTAGGAGGGCTTTGTTAGTCGAAGCATGGCCACTGGCGATGTGATTTATGATGGGGTTTGGGGTTGTGCTGTATCTATTCCAAACTCCAGAGTACGAAGACAAATGACATCACACTGAGCCTCCCAAACAACTGGGAATAGTCAGCTGCAAAAGCAGTTCATGATCCATTTCCAGTAAAAAGTCTGGACACCGTGGGCTCAGGGACACTTCCCGGGTTGACCACTCTGTGTGTACTGCCCCCGTTGGTGTTGGGAGCTACCATTCTTAAAGCCGATAGGAGCTTTATTGAGCCTCCCAGACCTCGCCCTGTGCCTCCTTGCTGGCTTAATTTGCATCCTCTGGCCATAAGAAATCTATAACTGCTTGTGTAAGTGCTTTCCCAAGTCTCAGCTCAAGTTCTACAACACATTACCATGGACCGGGTGACTTACGAACAAAAGAAATTTACTTCTTAAAGTTTTAGAGGCTAAAAATTTATTTCTCACAGTCTAGAGACTGGAACCATTTCACTTCTGACTCCAAAACTTCATGTCCTTTCTCACATACACAATACAGTCATCCCATCCCCACAA